CGTCAAACGTGACGTCCTGGGAGGACAGAACACGGCGAGAGGTGGGGTGGTAGAACTGCCACCCTGGCGCGTCAGGGGGGAAGCCAAGGAAGACGCAAGGAGCAGCACGAGGGGACAGCTTGTCCGCAGACAAGTCGCGGACAAACGACCGAGATCCCCAGACACGGAACGCAGACGCATCGCCAACCTTCCCCGTCCACAGCAAAGCTGGGGAGGTCTCCGGCCTGGAGACCCTAGGGTGAAGGTTGATCTGATGCGCCGCGTACCGAACCGCAAACGGCCACAGAAAATGGGGGGCAGCCGCATGCATCATGGACGTACGGGCGACGTCCATGACCATGCCAATGTGGCGCTCAGCAATCCCATTTTGCTGTGGAGAGTCCGGAAGCGTGAACGTCTGGCGGATGCCTCGCGCACGACAGTAGGCTCGCAGAAGGCCAGAGGAGAACTCTCCACCTCTGTCAGAGTGCAGACGCAGAACAGGAAAGTCCGAGCCGAAGCTCTGCCTGAGCTGGAGACGAGCTGCGCGGATCCAGTCGATCAACACCTCAGTGACATCACCCTTGCTGCGCAAGGGGAAGACTGTGGTGTAACGCGAGTAGTCGTCAACCACCAGCAGGAAGTAGCGCTCGTGACCCTGTCCACGGACGCGGGCCGGGCCCCACACGTCCATGTGAAGCGTCTGCAGCGGGGCCTCTGTCGGAGGAAACTGGGAGGAGTGAGGGGCAGCCCGCTGCCGCCCCTCGACACAGGGGACGCAGGTAGGGCCAGGCCCCGGAGGAAGGGGAGGGAGGGACCGGGGAAGACCAGAGACAAGGACACGGGAGGCCATGCCTCGGAGACGAAGCAGGGAGGGGTGACCAAGGCGGTGGTGCCAGAGGAGAGTCTCGTGAGACAGGAGGCGACACGAACAGGGGGCAGACTCAGGACCAGACCTGGACGCTGCAGCAAGCACCTGACCCGACGCAGCTACCTGACCAGACGCAGTGACTGGAGGAGACGCAGTGGTCAGGGTGTACAGGCTCGACCCCGGCCGACGGGTAAACGTGGCCAGGTGTCGGCCAGTCCGAGCGTCCGTGCAGTGGGTCACCCGCTGACTCGCAGGAGTGAACTGGTGAACCCCCGCATCCTGTAGGTCAGCACCACTCACCAAGTTCGTAGAGAACGAGGGGAGGTAAAGACCAGACAGGGTGCCAGAGGGGGCCGCCGGACACGGGAGGACAGTGGAGAAGTGAGCAAGGACAGGACCCCCAGAGGGGTCTGCCAGAGAGACCGCAACTGGCCGGCCAAGCGGCGTGAGTGTGGTGCGGTCTCGAAAGAAGGAGCGAGAAGCCCCCGAGTCAAGGGTGAAGGTGTGGGAGGCCGAAGCCGACGCAGAACCTGAGAGAGCAGACTCACCAGCACCTGAGGGAGCAGACGCACCTAGAGCAGCAGCCTCGCTAGCACCTAGAGCAGCAGCCTCACCAGTACCTAGAGCAGCAGTCTCAATGCCCGGGTCGGGCGGAAAACACCGGTAACAGTCACCCTCATCACTAATAGTCACAGTATACATAGCAGCAAGAATAGCATCAAAGTCAAGGTCAAAGACAGCGACACCCGCCCTAGACAGCTCACCCCAGCGGGGGATCTCAGTGGCCTCAGGGAACTGGTGACGCCAAGCGTCCGTCAGGCGGCCAAAGCAGCGCTGGGTGGAGTGCGCCCCCCCGCACTGGTCACCCGCGCGGTCGCCGGTGCGGAGGACGTAGGTGCACGGACCAGTACCCCCACCCCGCTGGCGTGCAGCGTACCACTCACGGAGCTGCTGAGGGGGGGGGATGTCACGAGTGCGCTGCTGCTGCTGCTGCTGCTGCTGCTGCTGCTGCTGCTGCTGCTGGCGCTGACCACCACCGGAGCCAACCCTCTGCGCAGCGCCACCCCGACCAGCTCCACCTCCTCCGCCGCCGCCTCCTCCACCGCCGCTACCTCCGCTCCCACCGCCACCGCCGCCGCCGCCTCCGCCTCCACCGCCGCCACCGACACCTCCACCCCCACCACCACCCCCACCGCCACCCCCACCCCCTCCACTGCCTCCACCGCCGCCTCCACCGCCCCCGCTAGCTCCTCCAGTGCCCCTGCCCCCCTTGCCCTTGCCAGGGCGGCGTCTCCCGCTAGGAGTAGACGCCGCACCGACCGACTCAAGCCCAACGAGGTCGGCCGCAGCAGCAGAGGCAACAGAGGGCAAAAGGGGGGAGGGGGAACACCCCTCAAAGATGGGGGTGCGAGGGTCACCACGAGAGGCTCCTACAGCGACTATGCTCTTCTCTGCTGCTAGGAGGGACTTCTCGAGGAGGTCAACGGTGAGAGTGGTGGGGCAAACTGAGAGGAAGTGGTCCCTGACTACGCGAAGGGAGTCAGGGAGCCGGGTGACTATGTAGTAGAGGGTGATGTACATGGGGGGGGGGGTTCTTGGCGCAGAACTCAGCAGGAAGCGCAGCGCGGTAGCGAGTGTCACTAGTGCGGAGGTGCGTAATGAGGTCAGCGACTGTGGGAAAGGCAGCAAGGTCAGGGAAGAGGTACGGTAGCATGAGGCGGCTCAGTGCAGCAGTGGCAGGGGAGGAGTAGCGCGCAACTACAGTGTCGTACAAGGTCTGAGCACTCTTGTACTGGCTAAAGTGCGCACGCTCAGAGGTAGGCAGGTGGCGACACACAGCAAGACGTGCAGCAGCATCGCGCGTGGCCCACTGTGAGCGAACAGTGGCGTCAGCATCAGCAGCGGGGGCAGGAGAGGCACCAGAAGTGAGGTCAAAGAGGGAGAGGCCGTCTGCTCTGTCGCACTGTAAGAAAAGCTGCAGGTCATCTATCCAGACGTCAAAGTCAATGGCCCGACCCTCAGCGTCAAAAGCGAGGACACTAGGGGTAGCCATGACAGCAGTAGACTAGCAGCGCAAACAGTAGGGTGAGGGCAGTGCTGTGAAAGAGGCGCTGCTCTTACCGGACAGGGCGGCTCGGGTGGTTCGGCTGCAGGGCGGCTCGGCTGCTGGGCGGCTCGGCGGCTCGGCTGCTGGGCGGCTCGGCGGCTCGGCTGCTGGGCGGCTCGGCTGTTGGGCGGCTCGGCGGCCCGGCTTCTGGGCGGCTCGGCTGCTGGGCGGCTCGGCGGCTGGGCGGCTCGGCTGCTGGGCGGCTTGGCTGCTGGGCGGCTCGGCGGGGCCGCTGAGAGGGCGGCGTCCGGGGCCGCTGGGAGGAGGCGGCGGGGCCGCTGAGAGGAGGCGGCGGGGCCGCAAAGGTAGGTGGCGGGGCCGCTAGTAGGTGGCGGGGCCGCAGGTAGGTGGCGGGGCCGCTAGGAGGTGGCGGGGCCGCAGGTAGGTGGCGGGGCCGCAGGTAGGTGGCGGGGCCGCTAGTAGGTGGCGGGGCCGCAGGTAGGTGGCGGGGCCGCTAGTAGGTGGCGGGGCCGGAGGTAGGTGGCGGGGCCGCACAGGTAGGTGGTGGGGCCGCACAGGTAGGTGGCGGGGCCGCGGAGGGCGGCGACGAGCCGTAGGGGGCCGTGAGGGGCCTAGCGAGGGGCCGTAAGGGGCGTAAGGGGCCGCGCGAGGGGCCGTAAGGGACGGCACGACGGGCGCGACGGGCCGTAAGGGCGGCACGAAGGGCCGTAAGGGGCGGCGCTACGAGCCGTGAGGGGGCCGCTAAGGGCGACGCGACGGGGCCGTGAGGGGCCTAGCGAGGGCGCGACGGTAGGGGGGGGAGCACCCAGGGCGCGACTCGGGCCTGAGCGAAGCGCGCTCCGGGCAGGAAAAAAAATTTCGTGGTGGTGGGCCCTAGGAATCGTTCCCACTAGGGAACCTGCTTGATACCATGAGAAGAAACGAGGAATGAGAATGACTAAGGGAAAGTTGGGTACAAAAAGCAAACCCTAGAAGACTGTACCCCATATGTGCTACCCCACTATAGCCTACAGTAGCTCTGTCATATAAATCTGACAGTCGTCGCTGCGGCCCCGCCGTCGCGGCCCTGCCCTGCCGCCCTGACGCGGCCCTGACCTGCCGCCGAGTCGCAGCCCTGCCCTGCCGCCTTGTCGCGGCCCCTACCCTGCCGGCGCGCCACGGCCCTGCCCCACCAGTCGCGGCCTCTACCCTCCCCTCCCGCCACTTGTAAGCGCACCGCCGCACCCGCGCCGCCCTGTCGAGCCGCGCCGCCCTGCCAAGCCGCGCCGCCCTGCCGAGCCGCGCCGCCCTGCCGAGTCGCGCCGCCCTGCCGAGTCGCGCTGCTACTGCTGTCACAATAGATTTATATCTATTTAGTATAATCTGCCTGTAGTGTAGCTCTTGTGTAATTCCCTTGTATGGTGGTGCACCTCTTTCACCTTTGTTAGGTTGCTATATGTACTTGGTGCTATAGTGAACCTTCACCCATTCTCGATTCTCACTTGGCACAACTCATTCGACACCCGCTTGGCCTAGGCTTCTAAGCCTAGGCCCTCCTTAAACCCGGTTACCAGTTAAGACACTATCGTAACATGGTATCGAGCTACTAAGATCCTACTCCTAGGTGAATGGGCCCACCACCAGCTGTCGATATGACGCGCCCTGTCGATCAGGTCGTTGCGCAGCCCGTTACGTGCATCGCTGGCCCGTCGCTCGCCCGTCGCCCCACCGGCTCGAGGTCCCGCTGCTGCTGCGCTAGCGACAACGAGCTGCGCGAGGGCGCTCGTCGCGCCCCACCGTTACGGCCCCCCAAGTTCACCTACGGACCCGCGAGCAAGAGAGACAGCGGATCCGCGGACCCGCCTTCAGCGAGCGAGCCAGCGGACCCGCGAACCCGCCTTCAGCAAGCCCGTCGACGGACCCGCCGACGGGCTCGTCACAGGGCCCGCCGACGGACCCACCGTCGGACCCGCCAACGAGAGCGCCAGCAAGCCCGCCTGCGACCCGCCACCCGCACCCGCGCGACCCGTTCCTGCCCCGCTTGCATCTGCCGCGCCCGCTACTGCCGTTTCGTCCTGTTCCCGCCGCCCCACCCGGAACCCGATGCCCCACCTGTACCCGGCCGCCTGCCCGTCTCCCCCCCTGTCGCAACTGTTCGCGTGTGCAGCGGCGGTCGCTGTGGGTGGGAGAGGGAGGACGGGAAGGGATTGGCGGCCCAACCGACGCGCCAGCCAGCTCGCACCCCGCCCATCTCCCGTACGCCACCCACATCTGCACGACCCGTCCCTGCCCCGCCTGCATCTGCCGCGTCAGCAACTGCCGTTTCGTCCCGTACCCGCACTGTCCCTGCCCCTCCCCGTCCCTCCCTCGTCGCGCCTTCCCCCTCTACCGCGCCTGCCTATGCCGTGTTGGGCGGTGGTGGGTGTGGAGGACAGTGGGGGCGGCGGCGGCGGGAATGGCGGGAGTGGCGGGGTTGGCGGCTCATGTGGGGGGGGGGGGGGGGAGGCGTGGGGGAAAGGGGTGGTGGGCGGCTGTCAGCAGTGAATGCCAGCGCAAGCGCTAGAACTGCCGCCAACGCCTACCGCCCGTCCGTCTTCCCTTCCCCCCCTCCCCGTCGCCTTCACTACCACGACTTCAGCTGTTGGGGGGGGAGTGACATGGAGGGGGTGATCAAACTGCAGCAATTGTCGCCACGCCTCCTCCTCTCTCTCTCTGCCGCTGTTGCTGCTGTGGGGGGGAGGTTCAGGGGGTGTGGGTGGATGTTCCAGCTGCAGCAACTGCCACCACACCTCCTCCTGTCATCCCCCCGCCCCGTGTCTCCCGTGCTGCTACCCCGTCGTTCCTGTGCCCCACCCGTGCTGTCCGTACCTGATTGTGCCCCACCCGTTCAGCCTGTGCTGCCTGTTCTGCCCGTGCTGCCTGTTCTGCCCGTGCTGCCCCGTTGTGCCCGTGTTGCCCCGTTCTGCCCGTGTCCTGCCCGTGTTCTGCCCGTGATCCTGCCCGTGATTCTGCCCGTGATTCTGCCCGTACTGCTGCCCGTGATTGTGCCCGTGATTATACCCGTGTGTTGCCCGTATTTTGCCCGTGTTCTGCCCGTGATCCTGACCGTGATTCTGCCCGTGATTCTGCCTGTGATCCTGCCCGTGTTGCTGCCCGTTCCCGTGCCATACTGACCGTGCACCTCCCGTGCTCCCGTGATCCTGTGCTACTCATGCTTCTTGTGCTTCTCGTGCTGCCCCGTGGTCCTGTGCCGTCCCGTATTGCCCGTACTTCCCCGTGCTTGCCCCGTGCCCGTGCCCGTGCTGTCTGCCCGTGTTCCCTGTGCTTCTGCTCGTGCTCTACCCGTGCTGGTTGTTCCCGTGCGTGCCCCACCTGTACCACCCGTGCTGTCAGTGCCCGTGCTGCCCCGTTCTGCCCGTGCTACCTCGTGCTCCTGTGCTGCCCCCGTGTTCCCGTGCTGCCCCCGTGTTCCCATGCTGCCCCCGTGCTGCCCCCGTGCTGCCCCCGTGCTCCCGTGCTCCCGTGCTGCCCCGCTCTCCCCGTGCTGCCCCGTTCAGCCCTTGTGCTGCCCCGTTCTGCCTGTGCTGCCCCGTTGTCCCCGTGTTGCCCCGTTCTGCCCGTGTTGCCCCGTTCAGCCCATGTCCTGCCCCGTTCAGGCCGTGTCCTGCCCCGTTCTGCCCGTGTTGCCTCGTTCAGCCCGTGTCCTGCCCCGTTCCGCCCGTGTTGGCCTGTTCTGCCCGTGCTGCCCCGTTCTGCCCGTTTGTGTCCTACCCGTGCTGTCCGTACCCGTTGGTGCCCCACCCGTGCTGTCAGTTCTCGCTCGTGCCCCACCCGGTCTGTGCTGCCTGGTCTCGTGCTGCCCGTCACCCCCGTGCGGCCCGTCCCGTACAGCACCTAGTTGCTACCCGAACCCGCTACCCGTACCCGTGCTCCTCGCACACCGTGCACCAGCTGCGGGGCGTTCAACCGCAGCCGGGTACCTGTTCCACCGCGGTGGTTCAGATGCTGCTTGGTGGTTGTTGTTTGTCAGCTTCAGAGGGGGCCCCTTGCTGGTGTCCCACGCCCTGTAATGGGGTTTTACAGGTGTACCCCTTCAAGGGGGGCTCTGCACATGGTTATGCACTTCAGGCAGATAGGGGGTGTGTCACAATAGATTTATATCTATTTAGTATAATCTGGCTGTAGTGTAGCTGTTGTGTAATTCCCTTGTATGGTGGTGTACCTCTTTCACCTTTGTTAGGTTGCTATATGTACTCGTGTGCTATAGTGAACCTTCACCCATTCTCGATTCTCACTTGGCACAACTCATTCGACACCCGCTTGGCCTAGGCTTCTAAGCCTAGGCCCTCCTTAAACTCGGTTACCAGTTAAGACACTATCGTAACATGCTGCTGCTGCTAGGCTACTGCTGCTGCTCCTGCTGTCATGGCTAGCCCTAATGTTCTTACCTTCGATGCTGAGGGTCGAGCGGTTGACTTCAAGGTCTGGGTCGATGATCTGCAGCTGTTTTTGCAATGCGATTCTAGGGACGGAGTCTCACTGTTCGATCACACGTCCGGCGTCTCTGTTGCACCTGCTGCCGATGCTAACAGTGCTGTTCGCTCGCAGTGGACCACGCGCGATGCTGCTGCTCGTCTTGCTGTTCGTAGTCACCTGCCGTTTGCTGAGCGCGCGCACTTTAGCCAGTACAAGACCGCTAGGACTCTGTACGACGCTGTTGTTGCGCGATACTCCTCCCCTACCACTGCTGCCCTTAGCCGCCTCATGCTGCCGTACCTGTTCCCTGACCTAGCTGCTTTTGCCACAGTCGCTGACCTCATTACGCACCTCCGCACTAGTGACACCCGCTACCGCGCTGCGCTTCCTGCCGAGTTCTGCGCCAAGAAAACCCCCCCTATGTACATCACTCTCTACTACCTCGTCACCCGGCTCCTTGACTCCCTTCCTCTCCCTTTGCCCCACCACGCTCACCGTTGACCTCCTTGAGGAGCGCCTCCTTGCAGCTGAGAAGAGTATAGTCGCTGTAGGAGCCTCTCGTGGTGACCCTCGTGCCCCTTTCTTTGAGGGGTGCTCCCCCGTTCCCCTTTTGCCTTCTGTTGCCTCTGCTGCTGCTGTCGACCTCGCTGGCACCGAGTCGGTCGGCGCTGCGTCTGCTCCTAGTGGGAGGCGCCGCAGCGGCAGGAGCAAGGGGGGCAAGGGTGCTGGAGGAGACGGCGGGGGCGGCGGTGGTGGCAGTGGAGGCGGCAGAGGGGGTGGGGGTGGAGGTGGGGGTGGTGGCGGGAGTGGGGGCTTTGGTGGCGGCTGTGGAGGTGGAGGCGGCGGTGGCAGCAGCAGTGCGGGTGGCGGAGGCGGCAGCGGCGGTGGGGGTGGTGGCGGCGGTGGTGCTGGTCGGGGTGGCGCTGTGCAGCGGGGAGGCCTTGGTGGTGGCCAGCGCCAGCAGCAGCAGCGTTCTCGTGAGACCCTGTCGCCCCAGCAGCTTCGTGAGTGGTACGCTGGGCGTGGGAGGTCTGGGGGTGCTGGTCCTTGTGCCTACGTTCTCCGCACTGGCGAGCGAAGTGGGGAGACGTGCGGAGGGCCGCACGCCACGCAGCGCTGACTGACGCCTGGCGTGCACAGTTTCCTGACGCCACGGAGCTCCCCCGCTGGGGTGATCTGCTTAGGTCGGGGGTTGCTATCTTTGATCTTGACTATGATGCTATCCTTGTTGCTATGTATGCTGTGTCTATTAGTGCTGAGGGTGACTGTTACCTGTGTGTTCCGCCCGACCCGGGCATTGAGGCTGCTGCTCTAGGTGCTAGTGAGTCTGCTGCTCCAGGTGCTGGTGAGTCTGCTCTCTCAGGTACCGCGTCGGCTCAGGTCTTACACACTTTCACCCTTGACTCGGGTGCTTCCCGCTCCTTCTTTCATGACTGCACCACACTCTCGCCGCTCGGTCGGCCAGTGGCAGTCTCTCTGGCTGACCCCTCTGGGTGTCCGGTCCTTGCACACTCCTCCACGGTTCTGCCGTGTCCGGCGGTCCCGTCTGGCTCTCTGTCTGGCCTCCACCTCCCCTCGTTCTCCACGAACTTGGTGAGTGGAGCTGACCTTTAGGACGCGTGGGTTGACCAGTTCACTCCTGGAGGTCAGCGGGTGACCCACTGTTCGTGTACTCGAGCGGGCCGGCACCTGGCCACGTTCACCCGTCAGCCGGGGTCGAGCCTGTACACCCTGACTACCGTGTCTCCTCCGGTTGCTGCGTCTGGTCAGGTAGCTGCGTCAGGCCAGGTGTTTGCTGCAGTGTCCCGGTCTGGTCCTGAGTCTGCCCCCTACTCGTGTCGCCTCCTGTCTCACCAGACTCTCCTCTGGCACCACCGCCTTGGTCACCCCTCCCTGCCTCGTCTCCGAGGCATGGCCTCCGGTGTCCTTGTCACCGGCCTTCCCCGGTCTCTCCCTCCCCTTCCCCCGGGGCCTGCCCCTACCTGCGTTCCTTGCGTCGAGGGGCGGCAGCGCGCCGCTCCTCACTCCTCCGAGTTCCCTCCGATGGAGGCTCCTCTGCAGACTCTTCACATGGACGTGTGGGGCCCCGCCCGCGTCCGTGGACAGGGTCACGAGTGCTACTTTGTGCTGGTCGTTGACGACTACTCGCGTTACACCACAGTCTTCCCCTTGCGCCGCAAGGGTGAGGTCACTGAGGTGCTGATCGACTGGATCCGCGCTGCTCGTCGTCAGCTCAGCGAGAGTTTCGGCTCGGACCTTCCTGTTCTGCGTCTGCACTCCGACAGAGGTGGAGAGTTTTCCTCCGACCTTCTGCAGGCCTTCTGTCGTGCAGAGGGCATCCGCCAGACGTTCACGCTTCCGGCCTCCCCACAGCAAAATGGGATTGCTGAGCGCCGCATTGGCATGGTCATGGACGTCGCTCGTACGTCCATGATCCATGCGGCTGCTCCCCATTTTCTGTGGCCGTTCGCGGTTCAGTACGCGGCGCATCAGATCAACCTCCAGGCCCGGGTCTCCATGCCGGAGACCACACCTACTCTGCGGTGGACGGGGAAGGTTGGCGATGCGTCTGCGTTCCTTGTCTGGGGATCTCGAGCTTTTGTCCGCGACTTGTCTGCGGACAAGCTGTCCTCCCGTGCTGTTTCCTGCGTCTTCCTTGGCTTCCCTCCTGACGCGCCTGGTTGGCAGTTTTACCACCCCACCTCGCGCCGTGTTCTGTCCTCTCTGGACGTCACGTTTGACGAGTCGGTTCCCTACTACTGTCTCTTCCCCTACCGCACTTGCCCCCTCCCCCCCCCGCCGCTCTTCCTCGCGCCAAGTCCTCCCCCGGTAGACCCCCTCCCTCCTCATGGTCCTGCTCCCTCAGGTGTGTCCCACGTAGACGCAGTCGAGCCTGTCGAGGTAGCTGTTGACTCTGGTGCTACTAGGGGTGCTGAGCCTGCGGGTGCCGGGTCTGGGGGTGCTGAGCCTGAGCGTGCGGAGCCTGGGGGTGCTGAGTCTGGGGGTGCTGAGCCAGGGGTTGCTGAGCCTGGGGTTGCTGAGTCTGGGGGTGCGGAGCTTGAGGGTACTGAGCCTACGCATGTGGAGTCTGGAGGTGCTGGGCCTGGAGGTCCTTCGGGTGCTTCGTCCCGGCGGGAGCCACTCTCTCCTCAGCAGCTGCGTGAGTGGTTTACTCAGCGCCGGAGCCGTGCTGCTGGAGCTGGTGGTGCTACGGGCACTGGAGGTCCTGCTGCTGCTGGAGCTGCTGGGGGTTCTGAAGCCACTGGTCCTGGAGGTGCTCGTACTGGAGGTACTGGAGTTGCTGGGCCTGGTGGTGCCGCTGGAGCTGGGGCTACAGGAGGTGCTGGCTCTGGCGGTGCTGCTGGAGCAGGTGCTGCTGGAGGTGCTGGGGCTGGCGCTGCTGGAGCTGCTGGAGGTGCTGCTGGGCCTGGTGGTGCTACTGGAGCTGATGGTGGTGCTGCTGGAGCTGGTGGTGCTGCTGGAGGTGTTGCTGGAGCTGCCGGTGCTGCTGGAGCTGCTGGAGGTGCTGCTGGAGCTGGTGGTGTTGCTGGAGTCGGAGCTGCCGCTGGGGGTGCTGATGCTGTCCCTGCTGGTTCTGGGGGCGCTGAGCGACCGCGGCCGTACTTCGTTCCGCTCCTTGAGCAGGTTCTTGGTCTCCCGCCTTCTGCTGGTCCTGCTCCTTCCTTAGAGTGTCCACCGCCTGTCCAGTCGCAGTCCTAGCTACAGCTTGCTTCCCCACTGCCTGCTCCTTCTCCTTACACTGGTCCGACCGGAGGTCTTGCAGAGCGTCGTGAGCCTGCGTCTCGTCCTGCGTCACCTGTTCGCGCTGCTCGCACTAGTCGTCGTGTTCCGCGTCCGCGTCCTCCTCCTGTCCCCGGCACGCACCAGATGGCACTTCATCCTTCCTCTGTTCCACTGCGTGTCCCTCCGCCGTCTCCTCCTCCGTCCTCCCTTGCTGACGGTCCGGACCCGGAGTCTGACTCCCTTCGTGCTGCTAGTCCTACTGTCACGCGTCTCCTTGCCACTATTGTCACTGACCCTTCCTTTGAGTCCACTGCTGCGTCTGCCTTAGTTGCTGAGCTTGTCGACTTTGCTGCTCGCTGTCGTCTAGACTACGCCGCTAGCCTTGTTGCTGAGTCTGAGTCTGTCTGTCCTCCGTCCGTCGGGGGTGAGTGTGCTCTTGGCACGGACGTCCTTGAGGACAGGCAGGAGGACTTTGAGTGCTTTGCAGCTGCTGTACCTCATCTCGTGTCCATGCTGATTGCACCGGAGGGAGACCCGTATGCACCAGACATCCCGACTCCGCGTTCTTAGGCTGAGGCGATCGCGGGTCCCTTCTCCTCTAAGTGGCAGTCAGCCATGGACGCAGAGATGGCATCCTGGAAGTCCACAAGCACTTACGTCGACGAGGTTCCCCCTCCT